TCGGGGGCGGGGGACACCCCCCTCTGTGCTTGGCTCAGGGACTGGCCACAGAGAATGCCTCTGAAGAGTGTGGTCATTCGCTGGTTTGGGGCCCCTTCTCAGACAGTGTATCAGAGGAAAAGAATCCCTATTATTGAAGGAGCCCAAGCTGATGCTAAAACCCACATCTGTGCACACTTCTCCCAGAGCAGGCATGAAAGGCCAGCTAAGAGAATGTGCAGGAGACAGTTAGGTGAGAGGCTGCAGCTGGAGCTGCTATCTCAGGAACACTGGCTCCTGGGCCTCCAGGCTGGGCTGCTTGACGACAGCTGCACCATGCCTGGGAGTGGGCAGGGAGGGTGGCCACGGTGGGCAGTGCGAGGCAGTTTCAAGAGAAAGATGGATGGGAAGGACTTGGGGTTTGAAGGCTCTGGAGAGGCTGGCTCCAGAACTCTCTCCAACTGCCCGCTCCCTGCTCTGAGGCCACCTCCCCACTCCCAGCACAGGTGACTTTCTCAGCTGCCCACATGACATCCCGGGGGTTGACGTTAGCAAGCGTGCTCATCCTCCCCTCGAATCCTGGTCACTTTCTTCTCGTCCCCCTTTCCCCTCCCTGGACCCGCCTGGCTCTCACAGGTATGCCCTCTGCTCTTGGCGAGACCCTCCCTATCCACCAAGGCCTGGGGTAAAAGCACCTCCTTTTACAAAGGCCACAAGAAGCTTCGATTTCCTTGAGGCCAGGGCCCGTGCCTGCTGGGGCTCAGCCCAAGCCCTGGGTGAGTCCTCCCAGATCCTCTGCCATGTAAGGAGGGTACCCCGGGCACCCACCTCATCATTTTCCACTCCAGAAGTTCATCATCTGCCAAAGGACATCAAGTCTGAACCTCCGAGGCAGGGCTTCCTCGCCCCACCCCTCCCCCATTGGATTGGGAGCTCCTCGAGGGCAGGGACACCTTTTGCTTTCCTTGTTATCCCCAGCACTTAGCACAGGGCCCAGCACACTGTAGGCACTCAGTAAATGTTGATGGGGTTTTTGCTAGGTCTTATGCCTTCAGCACTGGAATGAGAAGACGAGTCTACCAAGGAGGGCACCCAAATTCTGATTGTCTCCCCGTTTGAGATGACCACAAAACTCTTAAAATTATCAATAAAACAAGCAGATTGACCTAGTGGGCAGAATGTGGGACTTGGAGTCAGGACGACCTGGGTTCAAAGTCTGCCTGACATCTACTGGTTGGGTGCGCCAGTCCCTGAAATTCTCTTAATTTCACTTCCTTTTCTGACCATGGGGCCGGCAACGGCCGCTGCCGCTGTCTCCCGGCCCCCATCTCGGGGCGGCCGAACCCTTCTCCTTACACAGCGTGGTCACTCAGCCTCGTGTGATCACTCGGCCTCTGTCTCTGAGTGCTTCTGCAATGGTCAGACCTTTGGAGCGCCAACACACGCTGGCTTAGACTGCAGAGTAATCCCTCTTCGATGAAAGGACATCATACAAACTCGTGTTACTTATATAAGCTTAAGCACAGACATGGGTTTCAGGATCCGAGGGCCTGGAGAGCGCAGACTTTGATGAAAGAATACTAGCTCTGGAAGCGGGGCAGCCGGCCTTGAATTCCAGCTGGCTCGTCACTCCAAGTGACAACCCCTCCGGGCCTTCACTCCGCATCGGTGGCAGCGATGCCCTGGGCTGGGCACCTGTGGAAGCTGAGGTCACTGCCTAGACCCAAACCAAAGCAGAGGCGCCCAGGGAACGAACCAGCACTGAGGGCCAAGAGAAGCCTCCAGGCCCGCAGGCTAGGGCCCCGGCATGGTGTTCGTCTGGTCTTTTGTGAGGGGGCGCAAGCGGCCTGGGGGAACCGAGGGCTGTGAGAGACTGAAAACAGCCCAGCAGGAACAGGCACTGAGGCCACGAAGAGAGCAGCTCCAGGGAGAGCCACCGACCAGCCAGGCACCCGCAGGAGGGGAGCTCCTATGGAGCACCTCCACCGGCCCACAGGGGCTGTGAGAATGCACCAAGAGTCTGCAAAGTGTGGGTGAGGCCATCGCCTCCAGTGTGACTTCTGCTGAGTGCGGGACCTTTGTGTTTCTGCCCGAGCCGGGGGTCAGAGAGCAGGCTGACTGCCCACTCTCCGGGCCAGCAGGGACAACGACACGCTCCCAGACACACCACCCGTTCCTGTTAAAACACTGGAAAACGAGAATAAACGTCTGTTTCCTTAATATGATAAGTAATAGATATCTAAAGAGGCAGCTAGGTGGTGCCGTGGTGCATAGAGCACTGGGCCTGGAGTCAGGAAGACCCAAGTTCAAGTCCAGCCTCAGAAATTTACTAGCTGTGCGACTCTGGGCAAGTCAGTCAACCCTGTTTGCGTTAATCTACTGGAGAAGGAAATGGCAAATCATTCCAGTTATCTTTGCCAAGAAAACCCCAGGGACAGCATTGGTGTGCTTGGTCCATGGGGTCACAAAGAGCTGGACGTGACTGAGTCACCACAACATATATTTAAGACCAAGAGCTAGCCTCGATTTAATAGGCCTTTCCAAAACACCAAGGGTGATGCTGAGACGTGCGTCATCACCACTACTATTTAACTGAGTTCTAGAAATGCGCGCTAGAAACGGACAAGAAAAAGATGGAGGGAATACACGGGGGCAACGAGGAAACACAACGCGGCTTTCCACGGGTGATGAGATGGTTTGGCTGGAGAACCCCAGAGAGTCAACGGAAAATGAATCAGAGCAATGAACAACTTCAGGAAGGCTGCGAGATAGAACACAAACCCACACAGATCACCGGCGTTTGTGTGCGTCGGCAACAAAACTTAGCAGGAAGAGAGAGAAATTCCATTTGAAGTAACTACAGATATTTCGTAGGACACTTGGGAATCTGCAGACACACAGAGCACCACAGGCACAGAATTATAAAATACTCTTTACATGAATGAATACAGGCCTAAATATGGCCTGTTATAGGGGGGCCAAGCCAACAGAATAAAAGTGACCTAAAAGTGACAGAATAAAAGCCGGACAGACTCCTATGTCACAGCTCCTGGGCAGGCACATGCTTCTTCTCCCTTGTTGACTGTTGTGGCCCACAGATGTTCTCTAATGTTCTTGTATTTCACACGTGAGGAAACCCAGGTGTAAATAGGCTACGTGGTCCAGTCCGAGGGAGCGTCCAGACTGCCCCACGGCCCGACCCCTGGGACTTTCAGTGCATCTGGAGCCTGGGCCTCTCTGGCAGTCAGTCAGTCTGGTGAAGCCCGGGGACCCCTTCTCAGAACAGTGCTTTTAAATGCATAAAATATTTAGGATTACAAAGGAAGCCAGTTATAGGGAAGTACGGTTATCAAAATATTTTAAAAAACAAGATCACAGACGTGAGGTAAAGAACCCATGCATAAGATCATACTGCCACAAAATTTCCTACTTTAAACTCTAAATGTCACAGGGATTTTTCCCTTCCAAACCCCGCTGAATGGAGGCGATAATGAAAATGATTTCAGAAGAAAAACATTTCCCCTGGATAGTCCAGGACTTCTATAGTTTAATAGGACTCCAATGAAATCGTGCAAATCACTAATTGCTTTGAAATTTCTGGTTTAGAAACAGAACACAAATTAAATCATTCAAATCGTTTGTTTCTTGTTCCTCCCTGTTTTTTTTTTCTTTCCAGCTGTGCCTGTTCAGCCTAAGGACCACATGCTTTCCATTTTTCCTCTGGGTTGTTTTTCTTTTCTTTTTTTAAAAATTTTCCTTGGTAACTTTATTTTCCTTAGTAAGTTTATTGGCTGATTTTCTGCACAAAGCACAGAACAGCTTTTATCCCCAAGGGAAGGAGCTATTTCAAACCTTATTAGGAAGTTATTTAACATGTTTCAACATTTCCTACTGTTATTCTCTTTGTTTTTAAGAGAGCCGTCTGATTTTGTTTCATTTTCAACTGGAGACTAAATGACAACAAGCAGACTCTACTTAGATTAGTTTTCCAGGTAAACAAGCTTTCAATTCTGAATTCTGGCTAAAGTGTATAGAATGGTTGATGTGATATTTTAATAATTTTATATTTCCTACTATGCAGATATGTTTAACACTGGACAAGATTAAGTTTGGTAAAAGCTTTTTAGAATTTAAAAGTACGTATTATCGACTAATTTGTTTTTTCAGGATGAATAGTCCTAAGGACTTCAGATATTACGTAGCTGGAAATGAAATCATTTTTGTATGTCTTAGCTAGACGAATTTCTCAATAGATGAGTGTCACTGACCATAGAAACACTTCGGAAGTTTCATTCCTTCTGTAGAGTTCTTAATCTTGAAAAAAATGATCAAGGATTTACTGAAAAGTATTTTAAAAATCAAATTTGTAGAGTAAAATAAATGGGAATTAGGGCAAGATGAGAAATTAATATGTTTTTAATAGAATGAAAGATGTTTAATGGAAATCACATTGAGAAAACAAAAACGTTATGAACTCATTGATTACTACAGAGAATTAATTGACAGGGTTAGAAATGAAGATGCCTGGTTCTAAATAGGAACCAATTATGGACTTTCAAATACCTGCCACCACTGTAGGAAATCTCAGAAGATAATGCCAACATGGAAGTAAAAGTCAGTAACAAAGAGGGGAAGTCAACAAATCAACGTTTGGCACATACCTACTATGTTCCAGGCACTGTGCCAAGCCCTGGGAATACAAAGAAAGGCAAAAGACAGTCCCTGCTCTCACAGGGCCTGTGCTCTCATGGGGGAGACAGCACAAAGGACAGATAGGACAACAAATTGGAGATGACCTCAGAGGGAAGGCTTCACCATGAAGGCAGATGGGTAAACGCTTTCTAGACGAGGCAAGATTTGAGTGGGGACTTGAAGGAAATCAGGGAAGCCAGAAGCGGGGATGAGGAGGGAGAGAATTCTAGGCAGTGAAAAATGTCTGGAATGGGGAGATGGAGGGTCTTGCTCAAGGAACAGCTACAAGGCCAGGGTCACGGGATCAAAGAACACATGGATAGGAATCAGGCAAAAGAAGTCTGGGCAGGTAGGATGAGGCCAGCTTACGAAGGGCTCTCAATGCCCAACAGAGGACTTTCTATTTAATCTAAGCGGTAAGAGGAAGCCACTTGAATGGATCATGGGGAGGATGACATGATTGGACCTGCCATCTAGGAAGGCCACTTTGACAGCTGAGCAGAGGAGGGTCTGCCTGGGGAGAGCCTTGAGTCAGGGAGACCCAGCAGGAGGTGAGTGCAGTAATTGAGGTGATGAGGGCTTGCATCTGGGAGGTGGCGGTGTCAGAGGAGAGAAGAGGGCATATTGGAGAGACACTACAAAGGTAGAATCGATAGGATTTGGCAATGGAGTGAATATGGTGGGTTGAGGAAGGTGAGCTGTGTGACTGAGATGATGGTGGTACCTCTGACAACAATAAGGAAGCTAGGAAAAGTTGTGTGTTGGTGGAAAGAGGGAAAGAATGCTTTTGGTTTGGAATATGTTGAGTTTAGGATGTCTAGTTTGAGATGTCCAATAGACACTTGGCAATGCAAACCTGGAGGGTAGGAGAGAGGACAGATTTTAGAATCATCTGCATAGGGATGACAGTTGAATTTTGGGGAGCTGATGAGATCACCGAAAGAAATAGAGGGAGAAGAGAAGACCCAGGACAGAGCCTTGGAGGTCGCCAAGATCACGCGAAGGAGACTGGGAAGGAGCCGTCAGACAAACAGGAGGAGAACCAGGAGAGAGTGGCGTCATGCAAACCAAAAGAGAAGAGGGTGATCAATATTGTCCAAGGCTGCAGAGAGGGCAAGAAAGATGAGGATTGAGAAAAAGCTGTTAGATTGGGTAACTAAGAGATCAAGGGTAACTTTGGAGGGAACTTCAAGGGTGGGGTCAGAAGCCAGATTGCAGAAAGTTAAGAGAAAGAAGAAAGGAGAAGGAGCTATCAATTTTAGATGGCTTTTTCAAGGCATTTAAGCACAAAAGGGAGACAAGATATGACAACAGCTGGTTGGGGGAGATTAAATGAGTGGGTTTTTTTTTTTAAAGGGTGAGAGAGACACAGGCATATTCATAGACAGCAGGGAAGTAGCCGGGAGACTGATGATAAGTGAAAGGGTGAGGGTGATGGAGGGGCGATCGGCTGGAGCAGACGGGATGGAATGGGATGACGAACACGCAGAGGGGTTTGCCTGGGCAAGAAGGGCCACCTCTTTATAGGAGATGGGGAACGGGGGATGAGGAGGGAGAAGAGGGAGCTCTTGGAGAAGGGCCTCAAGGCCTTCAGCAACACAGACATCAAGGCTGTTGCCTGAGAAGGTAGAAGGAGGAGCTGCGGGAGCTCTGAGCAAGGGTGAAAAGGAAGGAAAATCTGCCCTGGTGAATGGGAGCAGGGAGGTGTGAAAGGATTGCCTTGGAGCAGTGAGGGCCCAGGTGAGATTCCATAATGTAAATTCATAGTGGACCCAGGAAGCAGTTTTGTGGCTTTTCTCCATCCTCATTCAGAGGCACAGGAAGGAAGGCCGTGGACGGTGGCAGTGACGTGTGGCTGACTAAGGGACTCCAGGGAAGAGGACGTGATTGTGTCTCACTAGATCCAGTGAGACAATGTAGAAATTTTGCTTTTCAAGCTGCCGAACGCTACATAAAAGACAATTATTATCATTATTACCACTTTTTCCTGTGATCTCGTGGATGTAGACACTCCCTGTAAGGCACAGATCACAACCTAGCCACACCTGCTTGACCTGACCACCTCCCATCCATGCCCTCTCATCAATCCTACCACAGCACGTCAGCCTGCCCCCGAGGTCCTTCATCACCAGAGGCCTCAATCACTCAATCAACACGTATTTATTAGACCTGAAGATACAAGGAGGACCAAGAAAGAGATGCTCCCTACACCTGGGGTGCAGGAGACAATATCAGTGCGCAGCGAATGAATACAAATAGCTAGAAAAAACTGGTTAGGTCAGCAGCCCTTTGGGAGGGCGTCCTCGGGTGGGATGGAGGCAGCACATTCTCAGCAGGGGGCATGACCAGAGCATACGCAGATGGGAAACGCAGTGTCGTGTGTGCTAGGCACAGAGAGGGCTGGTTTGGCTAGCCTGCAGAACGTGGGCAGGGACTAAAGACAGACTGTGGCAGGTGGGGAAGAGTTTTGGAAGCCAAGGAAAGGAGACTTCTGGCCAAAATGACTGCCTGAGCAGGAGGTGCGGAGTCAAGCTCCCCAACACCTACGCCGGTAAAACTGGCAGAATAACAAGCAAGACGTCCAGTGAAAAACGATAGTAGTTTCTCCTATCCCAAATCTGCACCAAAAGTGAGAGAGCCAGGGGCAGGAGGAAAGGGAGCCCCCGAGAAAGCAAGCATCAGCACAGTTAAAGATGAGATATCTGGAGGCTGCAAGGCCCGTGTCCAGAATGAAAGAATGAGGGCGTGATTGAACTATTTAGTAAGCTCTTTGTGCAAAGCTCTGGGCTCAGCAGCAGAAGCACAAATGTTCGTGAGCCTGGCCTTGCTCTCGGGGGCCCCTCCCTCTAATGGGGGAGACACCATCTGGGGAAGGCCCCAGGGCCCTGAGGGGGCAGCCGCAGAGCAGGGGGCCATTCCCCACTGAGAGAGTCACGGCAGTGCCTGATGTGGAGCCGGGTCTAGAGAGGGCCTGGGACTCTGGTGACCATGGCTTCCTTTTCCCTGCAGCCCCTGCAGGAGCAGGGCCCAGGCTGCATCTCCCTGGGGGCGCTGGGCAGGAAGCCTGGTTCTTCCCAAGGCTCTCGGGCTCAGGGTCCTGGGCTGTTTCCATCGGGGTCTGGGGTGAGCTGGGAATCCAGGGGTGGCTTTGACCTGACTTGCATTTGCCCAGGCTGCCGCTTGTCTCTTCCTTAGGGAGCCTGGCTGCTTCAGTTAGGCCGGCCTGCTCGCCCTGTGGGTGGCTCCTGGTTGGTACTTGGTAAGGATGGCCAACTCGCTCTTCATGGGATTTGCTTCCACTGATTATGGCTGTGAGGGCTGGGATGGAAGCAGGACAAGTGGTCTGGGGTTGCTGACACTCTTAGGATTCCTGTGTCTGTTTGCCTGTGCATAATCATCAGTGGTGATGAAGAAGGCTGATTGCTTCCCCACAATGATTTTTCCCCTCAACCTGGAAGCAGGTCTGGAGGCTTGGGGGACATTTCTCTTCCCAAGGCTCTTGGGCTCAGGGTCCTTGGCTGTCTCCATCAGAGTCCGAGGGGAGCTGGTGGCCAACGTAGAGTGGTGGCAGTTTGACCTACCCAGCATCTGCTGCCTCCTGTCTCCCCCTCCAGCAGCCTTGCTGTTTTAGCGAGGCTGGCTGGCTTGCCAAAGACAACTAGTGTAGAGATCTCCCTGGGAACTACCCAGCATGGTCACAGCATCCTCAGGGTGAAGACTTTAGAAGTCCCAGGGGATCGTCAATGGGCAGTAACTGCTCAGTGCAGGTGATCCCTGACTGAGAGAGTTCCTATCTCTCTATGTGAAAGGACAAAGAAGGCCCTGACGATCCAGGATCCAAAATCTCAGAGTACAGTGACCCAGGGGCCCAGGGGAGACCAAGAGATCTGACCAGCCTGGCACTCTATAAGGGGAGGTACCTCCCCTTGCTGGTACAAATCTCCAATTCAGGAACAAAGCCAGAGAGACGAGCAAGTCAAAGAAAACACTGAGAAGCATCATGCTATTGTCAATCTAACTCCATAGCAACACAAGAAGAGGCCCAAAGCATTCCTGGACACCCAGAGGAAAGGAAGCAAGAGATAAAGAAGGGAGTCAAAGCTCCGGAGGGAAGACCCGGAAGGATGGCCAACAAGGTGCATGGCACGTCTTAATCAGGAAATGGAATCCCTGAAAACTAGAAGAGACCAAACAGAAATCAAAATCCTGAAGAAAGAAATGTCAGAACAAAATCAAACAACTGAAAAAATAACCAACTGACTGTCTGAATGTAATCAAATAGGATGGCGCCATATTGCTACTGTTCAGTCATTTCAGTTACGTCTGATTCTTCATGGCCCCCACTGAGAGTTTCCTTGGGAAAGATATTAGAGTGGCCATTTCCTTCTCCAGCTCATTTTTAAGATGAGGAAACTGAGGCAAACAGAGTGAAGTGATTTGCTCAGGCTAGGTGTCTGAGCGCTGGATTTGAACTCATGTCTTCCTGACCCCAGGCCCACTACTTTAGCCATTGCACTACCTAGCTGCCCTAGAATCCATGTATTTTGAACAAATTTAAACCTGATATTAAAGATACAGCAGCTCGCCCCAAAAGTTTTTCTTTACATCAGTTTATCCTGTCAAAAAGCTACCCACTCCAGTGTCTAATTGTTATTTAAATGCAATGTAGGGTTCAAGTCAGGGCATTTGCCAAAGGTTCTCCTCATTGATGAGGAGGATTACTCAACATTCTGTGCTTTGTGCAGGGTGGAGATGGCCAGAGCTGGGGGGAGGAGAGACCTCCTTCTGGCTTCTGGCTTCTGGCTTCGAGAAAGGACACATGTGGGGTCCAGGCTTTCTTCAGGGAGATGCCACCGGAGGGAGAAAAATCCTTTGGAAACAAGCTGACACGTAGAAGAGCCGATGACTCGACAGGCCCCTATTTCCAGCGTGCTTCACCACACACTTGGGAGAAATTTCCCCTTGGATAGGACTGGGGACTTGTACTCTTCACTGGGCTGAGCGATCTGCCCTCAGGTGGAGAACTCAGCCACGCTGGGTATCGTGTGGCATATGAGAATTAGCATTTCTGTTTGCTGTCGGCTTATTGACCATTGGTGACGGTCTTTGTGCAACTGGCATTTGGGGGGTAGGGAATCAAGCCCTTGACGCAGCCGGGGCGGGGACCCCTTCCCCATTGGGGCAGTGACCATGAAAGCAACTTGATCCTAAAAGTAACTTCCCCTGGATGGCCACTATTCAGGGGTATGGCATCATTCTAGTCTGGTGCCCCCTCTCTTAGGGGAGCACAGAGTCAGCCTCATGCCCTCCAGGCAAGGCTGTCCTGAGGAGAGAGCTGGGGAAGGCCCCTGGGAGCTGCCTTGCAGACAGACCCAAGGGATGTGGCCACAGACCTGCCCAAACCTCCCAGAGTGATTTTTAAATATCTGGATTCCTCTTTGGCTGTTAACACCATTTTCTTCATGTCACTGCTTTCTTTCCATAAAGCCAGCTTATGACGGTGATGCATTCATTCCCCGAGCGGAAAGAATCTTCCCAGTTCTCAGACTGGTGTAATTTCCTTTCTTCTTCCTTTTCAAAGATCATTCCTAAGACTTCAAACTATTTGGTTTTTAATACCAACCTTCTGCTGGTGAGTCATGGAATGCTACGCTCAGTCTCAGAGGGCAGTGGAGAGATGGAGGTGAACACACAGAACAGTAAAGTGAGAAGAACCATAGTCAAAGGTTTCCTGGCAACTTGTGAACCTAGAAATGGGGAGAGAGGAGAGGTGGGCATCCCGGGCACTACCCTGCAGGGGTCCTTGTGAGGTCGGGAGAAAGGCGGCCGGCACATTTCAAAGATCTGCCTTAATGGAGGAGATGGGCCAGAGCTGCCCAGGGTGGGCGGTGCCCTCCATCCCACAGAGCACTGGCATTGGTGAGATCCCCTGAGTCTGAGCCCACCCCCTCCCAGTCACACTGCTCCGAAGGGCAGTGACAATGAATATGGCCCTGCTAGCTACTGTGAACACTTAGGATCACTGATTGACAGGTGGGGGGGGGACCCGAGAGGCAAGAGACCGGCCGCCCCCATCAAGCTCACTTTAAAGGCACTTCACTGGACGTGGCGGGCCTCCTGAAAGCAATGACAGTTTTCTAGTATTTCCCATGGGTCAGAGCATTGGAGATTTCAGGTTGGAGGGGACCCTGGAGACAGCCTAGTCTGACCCCCTCATTTCACGGAGGAGGAAATGACTTGCCCAAGGTGATGCAGAAAAGGCCCTGTGAACTCAGACCCTTTGAGGGCTCGTCAGTGCCTGCTGGTTCTGGTGGAAGCTTTCTCTGCACTAGCTCCCTCTCCCTCTTCAGGGCCTGGCCAGGAGGCCAGGGAAGATGGGTCCAGGAGCGGAGGCACATGCCCGGCTCAGAGAAGACTTGTCCTCTGCTGTGGTTTTCTGGACAGCTGACTAAATCCAGGGTGTGAATACGGAGAGTCCCTCTCCACTGGGCACAGCTTTTTGGTGCAGCTTCTGGCCCAGTTGAAGCCCAGAGCCCAGCTCCTTGGTGGCCTCTGGAGCCATCCCACTATGTGTGGCTACATGGGCTTACTCACTCCTGATGATCAGGGTTTTCTGAACTCTGAGCTCTCCTACTTATCTGGATTCCTACCATGAAGTGCTCCGTCCTGACGGGGTTGTTTTCTTGGACTTGAGGCTTGGCCCGCAGTCCTTGCAGGCTCCTGTCTAAATGAATGGACTTCCTGGCAGTGACCCTCTTATTTACCAAGACCTAAAATATGTTCTCTTCCCTCCCTTCCTCACAAGATTTTGGGCCGAGCGACAACGGTGACTGCAAAGAGGCGAGAGACAAGCCAGGGAGTGATCCGGAGTGTCAAACAGGGGAACGTGGCAGGGCGGAGCACGGCCGCCTGGGACAGAGGCCCCCCCAGCACCAGCTTCTCAGTCCCCAGTTACCAAAGCAGGCCACCTGTGGGGTCTCATGAACAAAGACATCTTCCCCAGGTTATGTGGCTATTGCTGAGATTGTGCAGATGCCAGAGCGATGAACAGACCTGAGTTTAAAACAGTCAATTCTGGGTAGTTTTCTGGCACCTGGCCTGTCTTCATTCAGTGGCATTAAGGGTACAAGTAACATGGGGCTGGGGTTCTCACACTAAAACTCTGAGGTGCCACATGGCCAAGGCCTTCTGTGGCTGACCCGCGGGAGGCTCGTTAACCATCTCGACTGGGGTCTCAGACAAAGAACTGGGCCCCTTTGCTCTTCCTCTGCTATCAGCACCACAGTGCAACACCTGCCTTCTTCCTTCTCCAGTGCTTGACCCCTGGGGACCCCGACAAGCTGCTCAGAGACTGTTGGATGCACCCCTGGTCGCCCCACAATAACCATCTGGCTGTCTCTCCCTTCACATCCTTAGCTTGTTAGCTTCTAAAAGGGGAGGATTATGGGAGCAGAGAGGCAAGTGAACAGAACACTGCAGTGTTCTAGAAGGAAAACGAGTTCGGAAAACCCTGGAAAATGGGGCAGGGGGCTGGGAACAATCCCTAGTGAAAAGAGCCACGACCCCACTGGGATGGCGAGTGGGGAAGATCGTAAGAATGAGTTGGGGTGGGAGGAGAACTGGCGGGCTACAAGACTCACACAAGCTCACCTGGTGAGGAAGTACTGCTGATGTAATGAGCCTCTCATTAGAGATGCAGAACCTGAAATTCAGAGAGGGTAAGTGATTTGTCCAGGGTCATAGAACTAGCGAGCGTCAAAGGAGAATTCCAGTCCTGTGCTCTGCCTGCTACATCCCACTGTTCCTCGATCCTGCAGCGGTCCACAGCATACTGGGCTATCCCAAGAGTGGACACACGAGAGGCTTGCCGGCCCATGGCTTCCAACAGCAGTCTTTCTAGAAACATACGTGGTGGTGTCACTACAAAGTCATGAAGTCTTTTCTTCAGGTTTGCCTCTGGCAATGCCCCCCACATGTGGATGGCCTCTAGTAGTGCCCTGTCCACACACACATAACCTCTGGTAGTGCCATGTACAGACTCTTGTAGTGGCACACTCTCACCTACAGCCTCTCGTAGCATTTCATACACACGTGCAGCCCCTGGTAGTGCCTCATACAGCCTCCTTCCAAAGTCGTGCTTTCTGAGAGGTACAGACAGTTCTGTGACTTCTTACTGGCAGAACTTGGAATGACTTCTTAGCCACAAAGCTTGTCTGTCCACACGTGGTCACAGAGCTTGGAAGTACCATTTTCCTACTGTAGACTCGTCATCCCTCCTTTAAAAACATGAAAGGTTGATGATGGCCAGACAGTGCACTCCGCCCTCCTGGTTTCAGGCTCTGGAGGACATAATTTGTCTTGAACAAGGGGCGAGATCATTAGCTTTTGAGAACATTTGTGCTTTCTTTGAAATATATACCCTCCTATAGTATAGCAATAGACTGATATGGAGACTAAACTCTGCAATGGTTTTTCCTCTCCAGGAACGGGTGAAAACAAAGCATGAAGTTGGCCACTGGGATCTACTGTTTTCTTCTCATTAGTCTGTACACTGACGTGGCTCAAAATGCGACAACCGAAAATATCAGAAGGCTGAAACAGAGCACGGGACACAGAGTCCTCAGGAGGAGCCCCTCCCTCAACCGTGGATCACATCGGCAAACTGAGCCAAGAGGACAAGCAGGGACGGCTGCTCTCGGGGACATCGATGACAGCGTCGTCGGCATGGACGGGCTGCTCGTGAGCTCTCTGGGGGAAGAGTCGAGCTACAGTGTCTTACCAGGTAAGACCAGCACCGCTCTGATGACTGCATTGGCACAGAGTTCAAAGGAGCTTTTCTGAAGCCAAATTTTCCAATTACATTGTTTGTCTCCATCAATAATTGCAAAGATTAATTTAAAATCGCACCAGCAGCACGTCTGCTATCCATTGGTTCGTCCCTGTTCTCACCATTCCTCTGACTTGATTCCCAGGCCCCTTTACTTTTCCCCAGGCTCTCATTTCTGTCCTGCAGCCCACCCCCACTTATTACACTTTCCTGTCTCCCACTTCATTCCCTCTCCCTCTCTTTTCTGGTCATCCTTGGGTCTCAGCGTTTGTTTTCAGAGTCTATCAAAAATTCAGTGCATAGAAAATCCCAGAAAAACAAAGATCTCATGTGCTGTTGTTGGCAAGGGGTGAAGGGTGAGAGGAGGCAGGAACAGGGAAAGGTGGTAGTAAAAGACAGACGTAGAAAACGGCCTGGATGAAGACAAGTCTCTAACGTGACGTGGGCAATGAACGCAGTGGTCGGTGGCAGAAGATCCGGGCTGCATGAATGTGGGCAGGGCCATCCCCTCCAGGCCTCAGTTTCCTCAACCTCTGACGGGGGGGGGGGAGTACAACAATGTGCCAGGCCCTGTGCTAGGGATGTGGGTGACAGACCAAACAGAAACAGGCCCTGCCTTCACGGAGCTTCCACTCTATCACAGGAGACAACCTGAACGTAAAGACCTATGTACAAAATGCATTTGTCATTCTTACAATTTAACCCTCACTTATTCCTTACAGGCACTAACAGCTGAGGAAATCAGGAAGGGTTTTATGTCAATAGTGACCTTGAGCCCGGTTTTAAAGGAAACAAGGGAATTCTAAGAGACAGAAATAGGAGGGAGGGAATTTTAGGCCTGGGAGACGGCCAAAGCAAAGGCCCGGAGGCCGGAGATAGGATGTGGTGTCTGAGGAGCTGCAGCAAGGCCGACAGGAATAAACCAAGGGTAGTCATTTATAACAAGGGGAAAGGGAGAGGGGGGCCAGGTTGTGCAAAGCTCTCCAGGACAACCATGGTCTTTGATTCTAAAGGCTGCTGGATGGCGCTGTTGGAGCAGGGAGTGTTGTGGTCAAATGTGGATGTTAGCTGTTGTTTGGACGATGAAATGGATTGTAGAGAGACTAGAGGCAGGGAGGCCAGTGAGGAGGCCCCTGTGGTAGCCCAGCAAGAGTGAGAGGTTGCAATGAGGGACGGTGGTAGCCTTCAGTAGACATAGACGGAACAGCTTGGAGGCTGCTTCTGGTGAAGCGGATGTACAGAATGTCTGTAGTTTCCATCAGAGATTTCACCCTCTGTCCAACGGCCCAAACAAATAACAATCCATTAGCAACCAGAGGGTCCAGATGTAAAGGAGGGAAAACTCCAAATCACACAGGATGAATTTTCCAAAAGTCCCGGCCATCCAAGCTTTCCTACAGCTCATACAAAACAAGCGCCGTCCCCCATCCGGCCAGGGATGTCCAATCATGACAAATTACTTGCCGTTTCTTTTTCATCCATTTTCTGGAACATTTTGCCAAAACAGAAGATCAAACCATGAGGCTCATTTCATGTTGGAACTCGGGATGGAACGTGACACAGGCCAGAGGGGCACGGAGCCTGCTCAGCGGTGTCCCACACGCCCCCGCCCACCGACCCTTCTCTGACCCCCTCCCCAGGGTCTTCTGGCTCCTCGGCCTTCACGCGCCCATCTCCCATGCCTGGCATGCCCTTCAATCCAGCCTCCCCTCCACATCCACTGAGGCTCCCTTCTAAGACCTGCCCTAACCACAACGATCCCCTTCTTAAAGCACTTGTTTGGGCACTACGGATTCCTAGGCACCGTGCATCTTCGAACCGTAATAAACACATTTGTTTTGTACATGCCTCAACTCCCCAGAGAGTCTGTAAATTCTGAAAGGAGGAATGGCGTCATATTCCCCTTTATATTAGCTGATCATGCACTGAGTGATGGGGATGAGAAGAAAAAGCCCCAAACCTCTTCTGTTCTAGGGAGAGGATGTGACACAGTGAGGCACACGCCTGGCATGTGGAGAGTAGATGGAAGGTGACTACTGGAGGAGAAGGCACAGATGAGCAGTTTGGGGGAGGGGAAAGGCCTCCTCTAGAAGGTGGCCCTGGAACTGAGTCTTGGAGGAGACCAGGGATTCTAGGAGGGAGGGCATTCTAGGCATCGGGGACCACCAGGGCAGAGGCATGGAGGTGGGACATCAGATAGGTCACTGGGTCTTGGCTGTGGAGTGTGTGGAGGAGAAAAGAGGTAGAAGACCCTGGAAGAGCAGGAAGGGGCCAGGTTGTTAAATGCTGCATATGCCCAAGAAGGGAGGTTGTAATGGACCCTACAGCTAGCAGGCAGCCTTCTGCCTTGCCCCCTGCCCTGAGGACCCCTGCCCTTCCCATCCACCTTATGGACGAACCCTACGGGTGTAGGGTGTGTTCAAGGAAGATGAGTACCTCTGGTGGGAGGGCTGCTGAGCTCTTTTCAGGGCTGCGTTCCATGTTTGGTGTCCATCTGGCCCCCAACTCTCACCTGTGGCTTCAAGAAGTTGGAGTATGTGAGGTGGCCACGCCCCGGTAAACTCCTTCAGCAGACAGGCTGAACCAGGTTGAGGGTAACTGAGGGGTCTCAGACCCTTTCATAAGTTGGGGGGGTGTCTACCCCAAGCACGTGAAGACCTCTCCTGGCAGACTGGGCGGATGAGAACAGTTGGTCCTGTCGGCCATGAAGGCGGCTGAAGCAGGAGCTGTGGGGCGCTTAGAGCTTGGTCAGACAAGAAGATGCCAAGGTCATCCACTGCATCCCGGGCCATCCCCAGTCATCTTGGCTCCGTCCTGCCATGGGATCTGATGATTCTGGAGGAAAGAGTGAGGCCGACGACTTTGGGCAACTCTGCCTCACTTAAATCCAGTTTACACACGAATCACAAGACATCACCCGTACCATTTCACCATATGTACCTATCTCAGAGTCCTGTGGTGACAGACAAGTGACGAAGCAGCAGGTGCGGACACAGTGGGAGCTGGAGTCACAACTGGGAGGTCGTTTCTCCCAGGAAGCAGCAGTGGGATTCTGCAGCCCCCTGGGTGTCTGAGCAGCCTTTTTTCTTATATATATATTGTGGTAATTTTTATTTATTTTTTTGTTTTTCACATTTACTTCCACAAGATTTTGAGTTCCAAATTTTCACCCCATCTCGCCCCTCCCCCCACCCCAAGATGGCATGCATTCTGAATATCCCTTCCCCTAGTCTGCCTTCCCTTCTATCTCTCCCTCTCCCTTCTCCTATCCCCTTCCCCTTCAATTTTCCTATAGGGCAGGATGGATTTCTGTACCCCATTTCCTGTATTTCTTATTTCCCAGTTGCATATGAAAACATTTTTTTTAAACATGTGTTTTTAAAATTTTGGGTTCCAAATTTTCTCCCTTCCTCCCTCCCCACCCACCCTCATTGATAAGGCAAGCAACTAAATATAAGTTATATATGTGCAGTTATGCAAAACACTTCCATAGTAGACATGCTGTGAAAAACTAACTCGATTTCCCTTAATACTATCCCACCCACCCATTTATTCTATTCTTTCTTTTGACCCTGACCCTCCTCAGAAGTACTTGTTTGTGATTACCCCCTTTCCTAATCTGCCCTCCTCTCTATCATCCCCCTACTCCTTTGTCCCCTTCCCCCCACCATTTTCCCATAGGGTAAGAAAGATTTCCATACCCAATTGAATGTGTATGTTATTCCCTCCTTAAGTCAAATTCTATGAGAATAAGATTCACTCATTTCCTCTCACTTTCCCCCGTTTCCCCTCCACTGTAAGAGCCTTTTCTTTTCTGTTTTTTTTTGTGAGATAATTTACCCTGTTCCACCTCACCCTTTCTCCTTCTCTTAGTATAATCCTCTCTCACCCCTTGATTTTATTCTCCAGATATCATCCCTTCATTTTCAACTCACCCTGTGCCATCTATCTATCTATCTATCTATATCTATATATATGTACATATAATTTTTTCCCCTCCAACTACCTTAATATTGACAAAGGTCTCATGAGTTACAAATATCATCTTTCCATGCAGGAATGTAAACAGCTCAACCTTAATAAGTCTCTTATGATTTCTCTTTCCTGTTTACCTCTTCATGTTCCACTTGAGTCTTGTATTTGAAAATCAAATTTTCTATTCAGCTCTGGTCTTTTCATCAAGAATGCTTGAAAGTCCTCTATTTCACTGAATGACCATTTTTTCCTCTGCAAGATTATACTCAGTTTTGCTGGGTAGGTGATTCTTGGTTGTAATCCTATCTCCTTTGCCTTCCAGATTATTATATTCCATGCCCTGTGGTCCCTTAATGTAAAAGCAGCTAAATCTTGTGTTATCCTGATTGTGTTTCCACAATACTTGAATTGTTTCTTTCTGGCTGCTTGTAATATTTTCTCCTTGACCTGAGAACTCTGGAATTTGGCTACAATATTCCTAGGAGTTTTCCTTTGGGGATCTCTTTCAGGAGGTGATCAGTGGATTCTTTCAATTTCTATTTTGCCCTCTGGTTCTAAAATATCAGGGCAGTTTTCCTGGATAATTTCTTGAAAGATGATGTCTAGGCTCTTTTTTTGATCATGGCTTTCAGATAGTCCAATAATTTTTAAATTCTCTCTCCTGGATCTATTTTCCAGGTCAGTTGTTTTTCCAATGAGATATTTCACATTGTTTTCTAATTTTTCATTCTTTTGGATTGTTTTACAATGTCTTGATTTCTCATAAAGTCACTAGCTTCCAATTGCTCTATTCTAATTTTTAAGGAAGTATTTTCTTCAGTAAGCTTTTGGACTTCCTTTTCCATTTGGCTAAGTTTGCTTTTAAGGGCATTCTTTTCCTCATTGGCTTTTTGGACCTCTTTTGCTATTTGGGTTAGGCTATTTTTAAAGGTGTTATTTTCTTCAGTATTTTTTTGGGTCTCCTTTAGCAAGCTGTTGACTTGTTTTTCATGATTTTCTTGCAAAACTCTCAGTTTTTCCTCTACTTCTCTTACTTGCTTCTCAAAATCCCTTTTGACTCTTCCAAGGCCTGGGACTGATTCATATTTTTCTTGGAGGCTTTGGATGTAGGAGCTTTGACTTTGTTGTCTTCTTCTGGTTGTATATTTTGATCTTCTTTGTCACCAAAGTAAGATAATATAGTCTGACTCTTCTTGCGCTGCTTACTCATGATCCCGGACAATTACTTGAGTTTTAAACTCTTTGTTAAGGCAAAAGTCTGCTTCCAGTGCGGAGAATATACTGTCCCAAGCTTCGGGGGTTTGGACAGCTGTTTTCAGAGATGCTTCTAGGGACCTGAAAATTTTCAGTTCTTCCAAGGTGGTATGATAAGGGGTGAGGTGTTTCCTCTCCACAGCCACAACAAGCTCCACCACACCAGCGCTCCTCCTCGCCCCAGGACCACCCCTCAGAACTGTGACCCAGATCCAAGCACTGGTAAAGCAAGAGATTCCTGCCTCAGCACTGGCAAAGAGATCCTTGCAACCCCTCTGTGATCAGCCACTCGCTTCCCCCTCAGTCTGTGGGTCAGAAGCTCAGGAAAAAGCAGTAGCCCTGGGCCGTGTTCGAGACTTGCGGCTGAGACCTAGCTCCTCTTTCACCACAGTCACAGACTTTTCCCACTGACCTTCTAAGTTGTCTTTGGCGTTAGTGGGTTGAGAAGTCTGGAAACCGCCACAGCTGCCCGTGATTCAGTCCACCGAGGCCTGCTCCAGGGTTGCTGCAGCCTGCACGCCCACGCCAAACTGCGCTCCTCTCCCTGCCAGCGCGATATACCTTTCTGATCAGCCATCCAGGCTGTCTTTGGCTGGAAATTTGTTTCACTCTGTCTTTTTGTGGGTTCTGCTGCTTCAGAATTTGTTTAGAGCCATTTTTTATAGGTATTTGGAAGGGTTTGGGGGGAGTGCTCAAACAAGTCACTGCTTTCCCTCCACCATCTTGACTCCGCCTCTGAGCAGCCTTTTAAGGACCGCACTGTTCACCTCCTGGTGTGAGGAAGGGGCTAGAAAAGGTGCCCTAAAAATTGTCTGCTTACTTAACCCTGGCCTGGTTACCATGGCAGGCAGGGATTCCACCCTGTGGTTGAAACAAAAAAAAATGTAGAAAAACTTCCACAAAGATGATTCCACTCACCATAAGTACACGGAATGTGCGCACACTTACAGACAACACAAAACCGGTAGGCCTGGAAGATGAACAGCTCTTGTTGTGAGAGAACTCGGCATCCCTGAGTGAAACAAGGCCGGCCAATAAGGCCAGCTCACTGAAGTCGGGGATGGATCCACGCCTTTCTGGAGTGGCCGCAGTGAAGGGGAGCGCAGGGAAGCTGGTGTAGGTTTTGCAATCGAAACTAATCTAGTCAACAAGCTCATATGCCTACCAAGAGGAGTGAATGACAGGCTCATGACAATGTGATTGCCACTTGCAGGAAAACATCATGCCACCATCATCAGTGTCTATGCTCCCACCATGACGAACCCTGATGAGGTCAAAGAAAAATTTTATGAAGACCTGGAGACCCTTATCATCCATGCACCAAAAGAGATGAAGCTTACAATTCTGGGTGACTTTAACAATAGAGTAGGCTCAGACCACCAGACATGGCAGGGAGTCCTAGGGAGGAATGGAGTTGGAAACAGCAACAGCAATGGTCACTTACTACTAAAGACTTATGTGTCTCATGACCTTCTCATCACCAACACTGTCTTCTGTTTACCTAAATGCAATAAAACTTTGTGTATGCACTCTGGAAGCAAACATTGGCATTTAATAGACTATGTGATTGTAATGAGAAGAGACAGACGGGATGCAAGAGTGACAAAAGCGACATGTGGTGTAGAGTGCTGGACTGATCATAGACTTATCCTCTCCCAAGCTAAATATTCACATTCTACAAAAGCGGTGGCCCCAAGGCAGGATGACTACCAGAAGAATTCACGTCAACATTAATGGCATCAAGGTCAGTTATCACACTGATGGTAAATTTTTCAACTTGAAAAGGCCACAAGTCAAGACCAAAGTGGAGGGAGTATTGGTGCATGCCATTCTATCTGCAGATGACTGTGCACTCAGTGCTGCCTCTGAAGCTGAGATGCAACAAAGTATGGATCCATTTTCTGCTGCTTGTGCTAATTTTGGCCTAACGATTAACACCAAGAAAACAGTAGGTGCTCCATCAGCCACCACCAAACATCTATACGTGGAACCATTGGTTACAGCAAATGGAGAAATGTTGAAGTTCATTTACCTTGGTAGTGTCCTTTCCAGGGATGTACACATTAATAATGAGGTTGAGGCACACACTGCCAGAGCTAGCTTAGTGTTTGGGAGATTCCAAAGGAAAGTGTGGAAGAGAAGTATTAGACTAGCTACCCAACTGAAAGTCTACAGAGCCGTGTGCTGACCTCCTTGTTGAATGCCTGTGAAACCTGGACAGTCTACCAGTGCCATGCCAGGAAATGGGATCACTTCATCTGAATTGTCTTAGGAAGACTCTGAAGATCACCTGGCAGGATGAGGTGCCAGACACTGAGGTCCTTTCTGGAGCTAAACCGCCAGGCATTCAAACTCTACTGTAGACAGCGCAACTCCATTGGGCTGGCTATGTTGTTCAAATGCCAAACATATGCTTGCCAAAAAGACTATTTTAGGGAGAACTCTCATAAGACAAGCATTTACATGGTTCTCAAAAGCAGGGATACAAGGACGCTCTCAAGGTCTCTCCTATGAACTCTGGAACTGATGGTGTGACACAGGCACTAGGATGTGGGGAGCGCACTTAGCAGGAAAGCGCACTTTAGTGGAGTCGGGAAGAGTTTGACAACACCACTCAAGAGATGGCAGTGATGAGGGAGAGTGTGCCAGGCATCTGGAACAGCTTGAGCAAAAGCCTCGAAGTGGGAGATGGGACATCAAGGAGGGCGAACACTCGGCCAATTACAGGCAGTGACGCGTCACCAGCTCAGAAAGGGAGCCAGGGGCCTGATGCTAAAGGGCTGCTACCTTTTTAATGACATCAATATCAATGCATTTCACTACTAAGTATCATTACGCTAAATAGTCCCAATAACTCAGCCAATTTGTTTTTGCTTGAGTTTACTGACATTATTTCCAAACAGAAATACCACGTAACCAGCCCCCTCCTTGGGCCAGTTCTCCCATCCTAGGTGGTGAAGAACGGCCCTTTTCTAAGTGGCCCTCATGAACCGGGCTGGCACTAGCGCTCCTGGCTGGAGTATCTCCACCACCCGTGTCTCGCTCCTAGCAGCTTCTCCTCAGTCGTTAGAGGCAGGTGACTCAAGATGTGGGGGGATGGCCCCGAGCCCTTCTCTCTGCGTCTGAGCCTGACCCCTCCACCAACGAGCTGGGCTTCTGGGCTGCCCCTGACCCTCTCCTCCTGGGCTCATTTTGTTTCTGTCCCCATTGCCCTTTTCTGTTTTCTCCCAGGGAAGAAGGGCCAATGCGTCTTTGGCGGGATGATGATGTACAACTCAGCCGTGTGGTCTCCCGAACCTTGTGTCACCTGTCTCTGCTCCAATGGGAAGGTGGTCTGTGACGAGGCCACGTGTCCACCTCGGCAGTGCCCACGGACCTTTACACCCGAAGGCGAATGCTGCCCTGTCTGCTCGGACACTGGTATGGAAATGAGGCCAAAAGGGTCTCCCGGTGTAGCAGAATAGGAAAAATTCACTTCAGTTTTAAGTCAAATCATAAATAATTGGTCAAAAGTTCCCAGCACACATATATGCGCCAAAACATATGGAAAAGCTTACAATCAGGAGATGGGAATGAGGGATCTTGGCTTTACATATCTAGCAATTTGTGAACAACTAAATTTGGGTCAGGGACTTAAGTTCCATATGTAAGGGTCCCAAGGCATACAGTGAGTAATACAACATGTGTCACAGCATTAAATCAATTTCTGAAATGCTCCGAAAGCGGCCTAGATAACATTACCGAGAAACACAATACGTGAGGCCGCCTGCCCGCATGACTGAGGAAGGGTGAACTCAGATAAGGCGTAAGGGGGAGTCTGGAGGAAGGCAGGGAAGCCCGCACTCCCTCCTGACTCCCAAGCTTGGGTCAGCAAAGTCTGGAGAGCAGAGTCAATCAACAAGAATTTTATTAAGTGCCTACTATGTGCCAGGACCTGCGCTGGGCATGGGGGATGCAGAGCCACTAAGGAGACAGTCTATGCCCTCAAGAAGCTCACTCTGCACAGGAAGAGGCCTCCTGTGGCAACAAGGACACACAAAATAAGGCCTGGGCACCGGGGGAGGGGGACAGCAGTGGCTTCTTCCCTAGGGCCCTCCACAGACGCAGAGAAGGCAGGAGCAGGGATGGGTTCCTCTGGCTGATGCTGGCTCTTCCTTCTCTCCCCAATTTGCAGCTGAAGCAGCTACAGAAAGGGGTTAGTACAGGGAGCCCCCAGAATTGAGTGAGCAGGGCAGGGAGAGCCAAGGTCAGACGCGTTCTTTGGGAACAGAGACTCGGTGACTCGCTGGATGATGGATTGGAAAGGGGAGGGGGGCGGCAGGGAGACACATTAGGGGCTGCTGTCGCTGGGCTGTTGGATCCCCAAGATTCCCTCCAGCTCTAGATCCCGTTGTCCCATTAGAAGGGGCACTTGGCTAGCACATGCAGTTAGCAGGACTCCAGGTGAGTGAGGAGGACGTGAAGCGGGCGTGTGGAGGCAGCTAAGTAAGTGGATTCAGGAGGTGCTGTGGAGGTATGGCGGACGAGCCCCAGCAGCTGGTGCCGTGGAGGTAAGGCGTACGATGAGCCTCGGCAGCCGGTCGAGGGTGGCCCCGTGCTTGTGAAGTGGGGGACAGGCAGGATGGCGGGCCTCTGACAGAAGCAGGGATGTTAGGAGGAAGGTTGGATTTCAGGAGTAAAGAGAAGGGTTAGCTTTGGACTTGCTGAATTTGGGATGCCTCAGTGTGGGACTGGCCTTGCAGTCACCTGGGAAGAAGTGTTTACTAATGCTACTGAAGCCTAAGGTCACCCCAGCGGGGTGCAGATTAAGAAGAAGAGAGGCTGAGGGCAGAGCCTGGGGCACACCCAGTTAGAAGAGGCTATAGGAGGACTAGTCAGAGAAGTAAGATGCGAAACCAGGGAGAGCCACGTCACGGAAGCCCAGCAAGGGGAAGGGGGTCAGCAGGGTCAAGGGCTACAAAGAGGTCAAGGAGACTGAGGATGGAGGAAAGGCCAGTAGACGTGGCAGCTGTGAGTTCACCGATAACTGAGGAGGTGGAGTTACAGGCAAGAAGTGGGGGGTGGGGGGGCGCGGCAGAAGAGGGGGCCAAGAAGTGAAGAAAAGAATGAGGGAGCAACAGGTAGAAGCCTGCTTTTCCTGGGGTCCTCTGGGTGCTGGAAGAAGGGCACTTGTGTGTCCAGAAGCATCTTGGTCAGCAGTGATGCTGGACCACCACAGCACCATTCTTCAAAAAGAAAGCATTAACTTGTGCTGAGTGTAGTCCCCTTGAGGGTGTGGACCGTCCCTCCCCATTAGGGTCCCCCAGCACTAAGAACCACTAGTGACCAGCACACAGTGGGCACTTCGTAAAATTCTGTTGTTGAATGAGGTAGGAATTAGGAATCTTAATGGCTAGAAAAGCGATGGAGTTACACTTTGCCTAGTAATTCTAATGACCTCTACTCCGTCATCCACCTCCCCCAAACCTGGCCTGTACAGAGATTCAACTATGGTCTATTTTGATGCGTGCACCTATGTGCTTTTCTCTTTTCAAAGAGATCTCTTTTAGGAGTGTGGCCCATATTCAGAAAGAGCCTGAAGAGTCAGGCCAGTGCAATAGTTAAGAAAGATTTTCCGCTTTGAAGAAAGACATTAGAAATGTGGGATGGCTTAGGACCAGGGGTGGGGAACCTGTGGCCTCAAGGCCATACATGGCCCTCACGTCCTCAGGTGAGGCCCTTTGACTGAACCCAAACTTCACAGAACAAGTCTCCTTAACAAAAGAATTTGTGCTGTAAAACCTGGACTCAGTCAAAAGGCACACCCAAAGACCTAGAAGGCCACATGTGACCTCGAGGCTGCAGGGTCCCCGCTCCTGGTTTAAGACCATGGTGAGAGACGTAAAATCTGTGCAATTTAAACCCTGGCGAGGCGAATGGGCAGTGCTGGAGGAGATTTTCAGCAGGACAGAGGAAAGTGAATAAAAATAAGAAATAATCTAGATGTTAAATTCATTGTCATCAGCTGTTTTGCCTTTTTTTTTTGGCCAAGCTCTGCGGTAACACCCCTCAGCTGTACGTAGCCCCCCGTACGTTGGGAGGAGAGCTGCGTGGCACCATCCCATTACATCTGCTCAATGACCTTGCCTGCCATGCTGCTGGAAGGAGCTGCTTTAATCCCTCTTCAGATAGCATAGTATGGGTATTGTGTAGGTAAAAATGGCACATTCTCCAAAAGCCTTACACAGCAGGTTACATCGGGGAGGATATCAGAGATGTCCAATTATCATTGGCAAAATTCTCTGAGCCAGATTTCAAGGCCTAATTTGTCTTTCAATGGCGTGACACCTGGGGGGGGGGGGCGGGGGAGAATAATGGTTCCTGATGCTCTTGCTTCGTTTTTCCTTTTCTTCTCCTTTTCCCAATGTTTTCTCACTTCTACCTTCTCTGCCTGTAATCTCCTAACCATTCTCCCATTCAGTATTGAATAGGATTTCCTTAGGTGATAGCATGGAATTTTCTGGTGATTCTTTAGCCCAAAGTGAACACAGGGATCCGCAGCAGAAGGCATTGCCACAGACGCCGGCAGGAATGGATCGACTACTGGGCAGGAAGGAGCACGAGTCTGAGGAAGAAGACTCTGGGGAAAAGGATGGAGAGAAGGGAGAAAGGAGGAAAACCAAGGAGGGAAGACACCACCAACAGACTCATTCTGAGAGGACAGTGCCAGAAAAAGACAAAAAGCAATCTCACGAAACAGAGGACTGCTGGACTGAAGAGAGAAAGAAGGAGGCGCGTCCACGACTGAACCCAGAAAGCGAGGAAGAGGAGGTGGTGGAGGAGGAGGAGGAGGAGGCCGAGGAAGAGGAGGATGAAGAAGACAGCTGCTTCCCAGTGCCCGCTCCCAGCGCACAGATCCCTCCTTTGCCCAGTGCGTGCTCCATCTCCGGCCACAGGATAAGCTGCATAAATGCCAAGCTTACCAAAATACCCAACATCGTAGCCCCAGAGTTAAGGAGCTTGGAGCTTATTGGTAAGGGATATTTGCTGCCATTCTGTTTTGTCTTATGAAAGTAAAAACATCACTATTATTGCAATGTTTCTTTACTACTGGTAAAATTTGCAGTCTAAGAAACAGATTAAAATAACTTCATGAAGAAAACATTAAAAGTTGCCCTAGTTAACTTTCTTAAAGTTAACTATATGCTATGTAGTTAATGTTTTAGAAAAGACTTGCGGATTCTCAACTGTGTGGATTTTTAAAGTTTTAGAGAGAAAAAAAAAAGTCTTCCTCTAAAGCTGGTTGTAGAGAGGTTTTGCTTAAAGTAAGTACTGCTGTCCAATTCGGAATCCTAGTGATGAAACTGCCCCGGGGTCCAAGATGAAAATGCATGGGGATGATGGCCCAGGAGGAGCTAGCTGAGTGGGCCCTTTGGGAAACCAGCAGCTCTTTCCTGGGAGTTACATGAGCTCCATCCATGTTCGTGCCCAACTACAGGACCACCAAGCCACCATCACCATTAGTGCTGGGGATTCACAGAAAGGCAAACATCTGCCTTCAGGGAGCTTACAGTCTAATGGGAGAAACAATGCACAACCAGGTACAAAAAGGGCAGAGCCTGGGGAAAGCTGGAGTAGTCTCCAAGGAAGGCAAGGGCATCAAGGAGGCTCTTTCCCCCCAATTAAAAAAACCATTTTTATTTAAAGTTTTGAGCTCCAAATTCTATCCCTACCTCGCTCCCTCCCTTCGCCATTCCCCAAGACATGTGCAATTCTGTAAAACAAGTCCATATTAGTCACTTTGTACAAGAAGACTTGAATAAAAGAAAAAAATGAAAGAAAGAAAGTGAAAAATAGCCTGCTTCAAGTCTGTATTCAGACAATATCAGTTCTTTCTCTGGAGGCCGAGCATCTGCTTCCTCATTAGTCCTTTGGGATTGTCTTGCGTCATTGTATCGCTGAGAAGAGCTGAGTCAGTCACAGTTCACCATTGTTACAATGTTGCTGTTACTGTGTACAATGTTCTTCTGGTTCTGCTCACTTCACTCTGCCTCAGTTCATGTAAGTCTTTCAGTTTGTTCTGAAATCATTCTGCTTGTTATTTCGTATAGCACAATAGCATTCCATCACAATCATATGCCACCACTTGTTCAGTCATTCCCCAATTGATGGGCATCCCCTGGGTTTCCAATTCTTAGCTTTGGTGAAAGTTTCTTGCAGAAGGTGGGAAATAGTAAAGACCTGCAGGAGGCCAGGGGATCCAGGAAGCAGAGATAAGGAGGGAGAGCATTCCAGGAATGGGAGGCAGTCGGGAGATGATGTGTTATGTGCCAAGAACAGCCAGAAAGCCAGTGTCACGGGGCCAAAGAACACTTGGATGGGGGTGCAAAAGTGCAAAGGCTATGGTAGAAGACTGGAAAGGCAGACTCCAATTTTGATCCCCTCCTCCTTGAGCGAAGGAAACCCTTATGTAAAACTTTAGACTTTCAAAAAAAAAAAAAAAAAAGATAAACCAGGGGAGGCTATATCACCAAAAGGTTACTTCATTTACAAAAATGTTTAGCCTAAAAACATTAAGCCCCACCCGAAGTATCCTTTAAAGATGGTTAAACATCTGACAAAGATGCCTGGCCAGGGAGTCACGGTCCTAACCGTTCACTGAAGATCAGTAAAAAGGTGCGCAGAGGACTAGGGATCTGGAGGAAGTCACAGACAGCACCTGGACCAATGCTGGTGGCTTCATTTCCCAATGATCCTGGAGCCAGGCCCTTGCTAAGGTCTCTTCTCTCAATTCTGAGCCTCCATGACCAACTCTCCTCAGTTCTCTCAGGAGAGGCATGGTGGTTGGTGGCCAGAGTGCTGGCCTCCAAGTCAGGGAGACTGCCCCCTGCTCCCCCTCAGCACTACCCCTGACGTACACTGATGGGCAGGAGGTTCCACAGCCTCTCAATGCCCACCCCTATCCCTCACTCCCAAGATGTAAACAGATCATTTTAAAAATCTTCTCCTAGGGAATTCCATCAGCTGCATCCCTGACAAAGCATTCCATGGAACACCTAATTTGGAAAGGCTCGACCTTCGCAAAAACACAATCACCTCTTCTGGGATCAGTCCCAACGCATTCAAGGTAAGAGCATCATGCCAGCCCTTGCACTTTTCACCTGGTTTGAACTGACTTTCCATTAGCCTTGAGGTGGACTATAGGAAGGAGAATGGACCCAGAAAAGAAAGGTTGTCCTTCTACTTGGACCTCCCTGCCTCAGGCCTCCACCCAGCAGCCAATGAATAGGGAGATGTCTGTGCAGCCCCTACTATGTGTGAATGGAAAATTAGAGACAGCCTGTGGGGGAAGGGGAATGGGACTAAGGCAGAAGGCTGAGCCACTGGAGAGGACATGATTGGGAGAACAGTACTGCCCTCAGCAGACAGGGCCTCCCCCCAGGACCTCCCTGCCTTCATTCTCCTAACATTCTTCTGTATCTACGGATGAGAGGCAGTGTGGGGTAATGGACAGAGCCAGCCTTGGCTCCAGCTCCTGACTCTGACTCAGAGAGCTGGGGGACCCTCAGCATTCTGGGCAGCTCGTGGAGGCTATCAGTTGTAGAGAAGGGACAGCACCGGTTCAGGACCTTCCCTACCTCTGGCATTTGCTTATACCAATAAAATCACAGATACAGTGCCTGTGCATACACCGTCATATGTAGCACACATGTATGAATATATGTGTATGTGTGTGTAGGCATGAGCATATTCACACATAAATCTGTCCTCATCGCCCCCATTACAATGTAAGCTTCTTTCAAGTAAAGGGTAATTCATCCCCTGGCAGGGAAGGGGCTCTAGAGTGTAAAGAGGCAGGAAGACCTGAGTTTCAATCCAGCCTCAGACACTTACCAGCTGTGAGACCCTGGGCGAGTTACTAACTCTGCCTGCCTCAATTCCCTCATCTGTAAAATGGGGATATTCATAGCCCCTGACTCTGGGGGTCGCTGGGAGGATGATACTTGTAAAGGGCTAAAGTGCGTTGTTGATATTTGCTATTATCTTTCCAGCCTGAAGCCAAACTCCCAGTAGGTGCTGAATGTGGGTGGAAGGAGTTGATGTGATTTCTAATTAAAGCATCAAACAAAATTCATGTTTAGAAGTATGTCGTAAAAGAAAAAGAAAATAATTTCAACATTTCTTCTTTTAAGCGCCTGAAGAAGTTAACCCACCTGTATCTGGACAGCAATAGCCTGGTCCAATTCCCTCCTGCACTGCCCTCTCGACTACAGGAACTAAAAATCAATGAGAACAATCTTCGGTCGATCGATGAAGACAGCCTGGCAGGTACGCGTCTGGCCGGTCCCTCCAGTGCCCTGCCCTGGGGCGGATCCAGCCTCCCTGACCCTTCCTCTCCAGGTCCTTCTGTCTCTCTGAGGGGATGGAGCTGTGTCCTTGGCCAGGGCCTCTTCCTGCTCCAGCGCTCAGTGCCTTTATCCCCCATGGCTCGGACCTGAGTTCACTCTTCTTCCGCCACACTCCTCTCTTTGGCCTCTAACTCAAACTGTGGGGACGACGAGGAAAGCAGAGTGTCTGGCATTGACCTCTCCTCAGTGCCAGCCCTGTCGTTCCCAGGCTGCTGGCCACATCTGCTTAGATGGCCACTCTCCCCTCTGACTCGGCATGCTTCACTGCCAACAGGGCCATTGATGCTAATGGTACCACCCGGTCTAAAACCTAGGGGTCATTTTTAACTCCCCCATCTCCCTGATGCCCACAGCCACCAGGTGCCCAAGCCCCATCGATCCATCCCCCACAGGTCCTCTCCTCTTTTTATCTAGTCTGAGAGGAAGCCAACGCATTTAGGGCTGTGATGCTTTCCTCATTTCCAGGGCCTGGCTCTGGCCCTCGTCCACTCTCGCTTTGCTGGCAACTTCTCAGCCTATGGCCATGCCCGGGGTTCCACCGTCCTGAGAACGTGGGTGCACATGCCTTCAAGTTACTGCCCAGCTCTCTTCTCCTGCCCTGCCAAACGGGCATCAAGTCCAGTCCACATCCTCATCGCATCTCTGGCAATTTGGCTCTGGTCCCCACGGCTGTGAGGAAGGCTGCCGGACTAACGGGCAGCAGACTCCCACATCCAAGAGGCCCTTCGCCACCCTCCAAGTGGCCCAGGAGGCCGGGCACTCCCTTGGTTCCTGTCTCCTCTGCTGGCCCCTTTCTCTACTCTCCTGACTCCCCCTCTTCCTCTCATCCCTGAAATGGGGGCCTCCCCCAAGGCTCTGTCCTTGGCCCGGTTCTCTTCTCTCTGCACATTCTCTTCCTGAGCGAGCCCATTGCTCAGGCCAACTCAACGGCCATTTCTCCACACACACGATGATCAAAGTTCTACTCTCAGCCTCTTCCCAGGACTCTGGTTGGGCATTTCTGACCCCCTGCTAGTGTCAGCCAAGCCACTCACTTGTTACAAACCCTCCCTGGTTCTCTGCTCCTGCACAAAGCTCCAGACCTTCAGAGGAGCATCACGGCACCTTCCAACCCTCTTTTCAGGAGCTCTTCTCAGACAAACCCTTGGCACCTGCTGACTCATGCTCACTGTCACCCAAACATCCATCGCGCTTTGCTTCATACCCTCCTCCCATCTCCAATGCCCTCCTTCGCCCCAGCTTTGCTAAACTCAGCCCATCCTTCAAGCTCCAGCTGTCCAAAAGGACTATCCCAGCTTAGCATCACCTTTTCTGGACAGCTGGAATGCTTATCATCCCATAGAGGTGGAAAGGACAAGGATGTCTGGTGGGCAGAAACCAGCTTTATTGGAGTAAAGCTTGTGTGGATAAAGGTGGATTTGGACTGTGGAAGGCCTTAAATTCTTAGGGAAAGGAGCTGGAACTTTTGTCAGGGGATAATGGGGGGCTTTGGGAGATTCTGGAGCAAAAGAGTGACGTGATAAGGTTTTAGCCTAAGGAAGGTTACCTCAGTATGAAAGACAGATTAGAGTAGGAAAAAAATAGACCCAGGAGCACCTGAAAGGCAGCTAATGTTGTAGTGCAGGTAGAAGGTAAAGAGGTGGTAATGGGGAGGTCAGTGTAGTGACAGAGGGCGGGGGGGGTGAGGAAGAGGGAAGGGTCAAAGGCAACACCCAAGAGAACTCGGAGCTGTTAGCTGTCACTGGCTGTGGTTGGTGTGATCCCTGCTATCGTCTCTGCAAGCCATCATTGGTTGCTTTCATTTGCTATGGGATGGAAACTGGACCCCCAAACTTCCAAACCAACCAACAGACATTAGGGAAGGGCCTACTGTGTATGAAGCACTGTTCTGGGCAAAAGGGACACCAAGACCACACAGGAAACGGCCCCTGTCCTTAGAACCATGTAAATGATGGGAGCACGGACCTCTGTGGAGGACAGAGACTGATGCTGCTGTCGGAAAAACGCATGAGCTTTGGAGCCCAGACGACGCAACACGCACTAGGGGCCCAGACGTGACATGAACCGGGGGCCCGAGGCCTTTGTGGCCCCTTCATGCTTCTCAGCCGTGTCCCGGATTGCTGAGTTTGCCATGCAAACGACAGAAATTCACTCTCCTGTCAGGGGCAAAGCCCGACTTTCTGAAAGGACAGAGCTTTGGTGAAGACACGTCCACTTTCTACATATTTTTTCGAAAGAAGGATGTTGTTGAAATTTGCCATTTGCCCACTTTCAGATTTTCAGCTGTTCTGCAGAAAGTGAGCCAAGGACGACCCAGGGCTCCTCTGTACGCAGATCTGACTCCTCAGAGAGTAGTACATTGAGGGCAGATGCTGTGTACTTCTTGCCCTCTCCATAAGGCTAGCAAACCTCCAGAGGAATAGAATGGCCATTGAGAATCCTAATTGCATAGAATGAGGAGAAGTCAATCCTTAAATTAAAAGCCACTGGGCTCTTTCCCACATTCCCAGACTCTTCCGAGGAGCAGACGACTTCTGGCCAAAGTACAAGAGTCATGAGAGTCACCAAATCTGGAGCTTACGTCGTTCTGGAAACGCTGAATTTCCAGATGGACTCCAGCAGACAGAAGGGACACTTGAATAAACACTGCTGATTGTCTTTGTTCCACTAAAAAGATTCCAGGTAAAATGAAACCTTCCCATTCGGGCTATCTGGGTAAATGGAAACTTTAACAAGATTGTGACTGCTCGATTACATGGCGGTTGTTTATTTAAGTCCGCTGAATAAATGAGATGCAGCTGAAAGAAAATATTTGTGGAAAGGGAAGCTGAGAACCCAACCGTGGATCCAGAGAGGGTGCTGGGAGAATCTTGGGATGGCGGCCAGGGAGGGAGAGAGGGGGGCAGGAGACCCCAACGCCCCATAGAAACCTGAGAGCCCTACATGGAGAGCTAACTAACCATCGTGACCATGGTGACTACTGACATTACAATGACTGGTGGTCCCAAGCATCCTTACCCTTCAAGGACTGGAGCAAGAGCCAGGTACTGGGACCGTCCCAGAGGCCTGGAGCATGGATAGAGACTCAGAATCCCTCGTGTGCTGGGAGAGCCTTTGAGAAGCTGACCCAATGGAGGGTCAGGGATTCTGCTCCCCCAGGCCTCTCTGTAAGAGCCTCTTCTGCCAAAGAAGCCCCACGTGGCTCTCACTCCTCGACATCTGCCACTGTGAGGAGGAGCCTCTGACCTAACCTGGGCGGGCCTGGACCCCTGCTGAGTCCAGCCTCCTGCCCTCCTGGAGGCCTTCATCCGGACCCTCTGGCAGGATGGGCCACTGTGGTCTCCTATCACCAAGGAGACTGGAAGCATCGGTCCTGCCTCTACTGCCTCAGGCCCCAGACTACATCCCCGTCCACAGCCTGTGATACAAGCATCTCAGTGCTTAGAAGGCACCTCTTTACTCTGTGCTTCTGAGCCTGCCCCGACCCTGGTGCAGACCCCCATCCCTCCATCCCCTGGCCCCCTCCACCCCTCTGACCCTGCCCCCATCCCCAGGTACAGACCCCCATCCCCACCCTGGTGCAGACCTTCTTCACCTCACTCACCAGACCTCCCTAGACCTCCCCAAGTCACAGCTTGCTGGGGGGGGGAGGGTCTGCCTGCCTCCAGTTTCTCCAATCTGTCCCTTGTTCAGCCTCCAAAGTGACCGTATTGAGTAAATGCCAATGCTGATGGTCTCTGGGATCACAAACAAAATTCTGTTTGGATTTTTAGAGCCCTTTATGGCTTGGTCTCCTCCTACCTTTCCAGGCTTCTCAGAGCTTAATGCTCTGATTCAGTGACACTGGCCTCCTGCTGTCCATCCCACATGACATGCCCCCCGACTCCAGGCTATCCTCCAGGCCTGGACTTCTCTCCTTCCTCTTCTCTGCCTCCTGGCTGGCTGGGCTTCCTCTAGGTTGCTGCTAAGGTCCACCTTTGGTAGGAAGTCTTGCCAGGGTACTCCCCTCTTGCCCACTGCCCAAGGCCTTTCCTCTGAGATCACCTTGACCCCCTCTCTTTCCTTGTAGGTATATGTGGCTGCCCCTATTAGAAGGGGAACTCCTGGAGGTCCCCACAGACATCGTTTTTTCCTTTCTTTGTACCCCTAGCACTTAGCCCAGGGCCTGGCAGTGCCTCCCATGTGCCAGAGGCTGGGCCAAATGCTGGGGATACAGACAGTCCCTGCCCTCAGGGAGCTTACAGTCTAGAGGGGGGCCACAAGCAAACAGCTGTATACAAACAAGCCCAAGACAGATAAGGGGGAGATAACCGACAGAGGGCAGGCCCTAGAATTAAGAGGGTCAGAGAAGGCAGTCAAGGAGGTCGGCAGTTGGAGTGCAGGAGGGAGAGCCTTCTGGGTATGAGGGACACCAGAGAAGATGTCCAGAGCTGGGAGGTGGAGTCCCTGGCTCCAGGAGGATGTAGGAAGGTGTGAGATGGAGGAGGAGGAGAAAGTGCCTAATGATTGCTGGTTGACCATCTGACTAACGGTGGCTTTCGTCTCCCCCCTCCCAGGCTTCAATCCAAAAGCTCTCACTTGGAAAGCCAAGCCTTGTCGCTGAATCACAGCATTTCCGTTTGAAGGGCTTTCTCTCCGGGGTGACCTAATCCAGTCCACACCAGAAAATAATCCCTTCTCTGACACTCCCAGTCAGTGATCCCCCAGGCTCTGCTCCGGGGCCTCTGAGGAGGGGGCCCATGACCCAAGGCAGCTGGGCCACTTCTGGCCACGTTGAATTGTTAGGAGGTTTCTCCTAGCCCTAAGCCTAAAGGTGCTTCTCTCCAGCTTCTCCCCAGGAGTTCAGGTCTGACAGTGTTCAAATTCTGGAGCACAGCTAACAGATCCTCCCCTCCCCCTGAGCCTTTCTTCTCCAGGCTTCCCACGATCTTCCCAAGGCCGGGCACGGAGACCTTTTGCCACTGTCTCCTATCGGGATACTGATGTCTTTCCTAAACTGTGCTGCCCATTCTGGGTGGGCTCTGCCACCTCCCCATTCCTGGATGCTCAGCCTGTCCTGTTGCGTGCTAAGAGGACACTGGTGTTCTGGCCTCTGATGGAGACTGGAGCCCAAGAAGAGGCCTAACTCTTTTTCTGCTGAGCCGTGTCTCCACCACGTTAAACCTATAGGTTGGTTACTTTTAAACTCCAAAGTACTCCTTTGCATTTGTCCCTCTTAGGTGCTATCTTAGTGGGTACAGGCCAAGGCTTGAGGCCCGTCCAGATTTTTGGAGCCTGACTCTGTCATCTGGTCTGCTAGCTATCCAAGTCCGGTAAGCCCAATCACTTAAGAAGAGGAACAGTCCACACCAACAAGCCAAGCACAGATCCTTGAGGATTTCCCCTGGAGAAGATGAACCTCCCCCCATTCCTGTCTGGTCTTTGAGTCTGGCCTATACCTCTCTGCAGTCTTTGTCACATCTGTGGGCTCTGTGCTTCTTGGCATTTGGACCGACAGTATGGAGAAAGGTTGAGAGGGCCTTCGTTCCTCCCTCCCCCGGAGGTCACATCAGAAGCCGGCCAGGTAGAGCTGAATGGGCCTCCGCGGTCATCCCGCCCAACCGCCGTATTCTTCAGAGGAAGCTCTCAGTGACTTGCGACGGCCATTCATGGCAACATGTGAACCCAGGTCTTCTGGCTCATGACTCCAAACGCAGAGGGACAGTTAGCTACTGGATGACAACATGATGACCCAAGAGGATAAGAGGTAGTGGCACCAGGCTGAATAAGACAAAACTCAGCAGCACAGATAATCAGGTCTTAAAGTGCTGGGCCTGGAATCATGAAGACCTGAGTTCAAATCAAGCCTCCAATACTTACTAGTTATGTGACTCTGGGCAAGTCACTTAACCTTGCTTGCCTCAGTTTCCTCATTTGTAAAATGAGCTGGAGAAGGAAATGGCAAACTACTGCAGGATCTTTGTCAAGAAGACCCCAAATGGGGTCATGAAGAGTCGTACACAACTGTACGAAACAGCAAACACTGGAGTACAAGAAAAGAAGCTTCACAAGAGCAAGACGGAGAAGGCCTGGTTTGATGGCAGTCATCTGATAAGGATCTGGGGGTCTGAGTGGACTACAAGTCTAACAGGAGATAGCAGAGGATGGGCAGATGAAAAAGCTTGTGTAACGTGGGGCTATATTAGAGGGGCCGAGATTCCAGGAATAAGGAGATCACAGGCCCCCCGCCACAGGCTGCCCCCATCCCACCTCCTACAGAGTTGTCTTAGTTGTGGCCAAGAGAGCTCAAGAAGGATTCTGATAAGGTGAAGAAGGTCCAGAGCTGAGGAGAGGGATCAGGAGGAGCCAGGGCTGAGTCCAGGCCATGTGTCCTTTTGTACACAGTGGAGTGGGAAGCCCTAGGGAGAGAGCAAGTCCCCCACTTTGGAGAATGGGAGCAGGGGCTCTGAGAAAGGCTAGATGACTGTTGGTCAGGTAGGGACTTTTTTCAGGTGTAGATGGAACTCGGCAGCAGCTGAGGCCAACCCACCTCCCACTTTCTGTCCTTCTTCCTCTCTCTCTGCCTTCCACTCACTGGGTCACTTCTGTGCTCCCAAGGAAGGCATCGCCTGGTGGCCTTTGGGGGGCAGGAGTGACTGTCTGCATCCCTTCCAATACACTCGTTCCTGCGGGCTGAGCAGGGGAGGTGAGCCAGCCAAGAAAGACCCTTCCTGCTCCAACACCCCGTGGGCTGCGGTCACTGAAAACAGGTTACTCTGCACCTGCTAATGGCTCTAATGTCGCGTTCCCTAGAATTACAGCAGCTGGTTGTCCTGGAGCTAGAAGGAAACCAGCTCAGTGAATCCAACGTCAGTCCTTCAGCCTTTGCACCTCTCAAGAGCCTGTCTTACTTGCGCCTGGGAAAAAATCAGTTCCGCATCATCCCCCAGGGCCTACCAGCTTCCATCGAGGTAAGTACCATGCTCTGTGCAGATGCAGGTTAGCTCGCAATGACCCGCTGGGGTATGCCTGCCAAGCACCTCTGTGCCAGGACATCAGGTGGTGGACTGAAGGACTCCATCTTGCAGGGTACAGGCACATGGCAGTCACTGGCATGAAGCACCAGGAAGTCTGGCCAAGCCCTCCCTTCCCAAGGACCTTTTTCCGCTGGGGGCTCCCACAGTGGCATCTCCTGTGACCATGCCGCGATCGTCCTGAAGCGCCTCTCTCCATGAGGATTACACCGGCCTCCAAGCAGGTCTCCCAGCCTCCAGTTCTCTCAAGGGCCAGGCTGGAATGACTCCATCTCAGTTCCAGCCATGGCCCACCCTCCAACTTCGAAGCTTCTGAAGTCTTCCTGCCTCCAGATCCAGCCCACCCAGATGCTGCTGCCTGTGAATGCACATGTGCTTGCCCCACTCCCTCCCGAACACGTGCTACTCTGAGGGGTGGAAACAATTTCGTTTTGAGTTCGGATCTCCAGGCATTAGTACAGTTCCTGGCATACAGTAGGCAGTTAATAACAGACACTTGTTGAGTTAAAGCAAAATTTCCAAAAACTTCAAAAAGAAATTGTTCTTAGGAAAAAAAAATAAACAACTCCCACACAGAGATGAATGAGGATAATCAGTTACATGATGAAAAAGTAGGAGGCATTAAGAGAAAAGTTGGCAGAAATCCAAAAGAGAAACAGACACGAACAACAGAACGGCCCGAAATGGAATGAAATGGAGAACTACAACTGAAGGAACCAAAGGGAGTCAGAAAAAAAGTTACAAGACGAAATGAAGATGGAGCTAAGAGTGTCTGGGAAACCCAGGAATGAGACAGAGTGAACCTCAAACCTTTACAGCAACCTGACCAAAGGGCCTGGTCAGTGCAAACCCTCCATACCTGCCTGCAAAAATAGATCTAATTACGGAGATAAGGAAGGAAAGTACATCCTGCTAAAAGGTACCACAGACAGCGAACCAATATCAACACTAAACATATATGCACCATGTGGGATAGCGTCCAAATTCTTAGAAGAGAAGTTAAGTGAGTTACAGAAAGAAATAGAGAGCAAAACTATACTATTGGGGTACCTCAACTGTCCCCTGTTAGAACTCGATAACCAAAAAATAAACAGGAAAGAAACTAGGGAGGTAAACAGAATATAAGAAAAGTTAGACATGACAGACCTTTGGAGAAAACTGAATGGGAACAGAAAGGAGTACACCTTTTTCTCAGCAGCACATGGTACCTACACAAAAACTGACTATGTATTAAGGCATAAAAACCTCAAAATCAAATGTAGAAAAACAGAAATATTAAATGGATCCTTTTTGGATCATAATGCAATGAAAATTACATTCAGCAAAGGGCAGTGGAAAGATTGATTTAAAATTAAATGGGAACAAAATAATCTAATCCTAAAGAATAAGTAGGTCAAAGAACAAGTCATAGAAACAATCAATAATTTCATTAAAGAAAATGACAACAATGAGACAACATACCAAAATTTATGGGATGCAGCCAAAGCAATACTTAGGGGAAATTTTATTTCTCTAAATTCTTACATCAACAAAACAGAAAAAGAACAGATCAATGAATTGGGCATGCAACTGAAAAAAAGACAAAAACAAAACAGAAAAAAGAACAGATTGAAAATCCCCAATTGAGTACCAAATTGGAAATCCTGAAAATCAAAGGTGAGATTGATAAGATTGAAAGTAAAAAAACAAAAACAAACAAAAAACCCCAAAAAACTGTTGAGCTAATACATAAGTCTAGGAGTTGGTTTTATGAAAATACCAATAGCATAGATAAACCATTGGTTAATTTGATTTAAAAAAAGGAAGAAAACCAAATATCCAGTAACAAAAAGGAAAAGGGTGAAGAAATCATCTTCTTCAATGAAGAAGAAATTAAAAAAATCACGAGGAAATATTTTGTTCAACTACATGCCAATAAATCTGACAATCTGAGCAAAACTGATGATTATTTAAGAAAATATAAATTACCCAGATTAACAGATCAGGAAATAGAATGCCTAAATAACTCCATTTGAGAAAAAGAAATTGAATAAGCAAGTTAAGAGTTGCATACACATCTGATATTCAGAAAATCCCCTTAAAACAAATGCCAAAAGAAGGGGACCAAGTGAGCTTCTTGTTTTTAATATGACTAGATGCTCCCCCACCCCCAACTGCTACTCCCCAGCCAGGATTAATTATTATTCACTTTCTGGCAATAGGATGTTAGTGTTGGGCAGAGCCCAGAGGAGGTGGTCTAGGTGGCCATTTGTGCCCTGACACTGGCGTCCTTGAAGCGAGAGGGGCCACAAAGAAGCCTCTCACCACCAAAGAGATGGGGTCGTTGGCCAAAGTGGGTGCCCGGAGCTTTGCTGATCTCATTCCCCTTCCCTCTGAGAGACAGCGAGGAGTCACAGGAGGAGCTGGTCTTGCATCCTAGAGGTCAGAGGCCATCGTGGGAGCACCCTGAGCTGGACACAGACACAGTGAGGACTTAATTTAGGAATGCCAGTTGGGCAGCTGTGCTGAGTATGACACAGACCAGGCCACTGATGAACCACCCTGTCTGAGGGCACCTAATGGATTCACAAGTGAACTCTGTCAATCATTCAGCCAACAAATGGCGACGATTAAATGTTCACCATGTACTCAGCCCTGTACCAAGCCTAGGGACACAAAGGGAGGCAAAAGACCAGATCTAACCTTCAAAGAACACATAACCCCCCCAAATTATAGGAACTTTCTCCAAATATGTAAAGAAAAAAGAGCCTTCTACCTCCTTCTTCTGGGGAATCCCAAGGGCTCTGATCCCCAAACTTAGAAAGCAAAAATGGGGCAGCGTCCTGATTACGGTGCAAATCTGGCAACCCACCCCTGGCAGAGAGAGCACTGCCAGGAACACATTCAGAAATGTGGCCCTACAGGCCTCTACCAGAAACACACACAAAGCTGCAAGAGACAGGAAATTATAACAACAAGACAACTTCTACATGAATATGATTCTATCAGAAGGTTCAGGACGTTTCTTGGATAAAATAGAACCATCACTAATTTTTTTTTAAAATGGCCATGTGTATGAACAGGAGAATTTTGCTTTAATGGATGATAAAAAATATGTATTTGAAATAATAAACTAGCATTATGTGAAATGGGGAATCATTAGTGGCTTTCCCACTAAGAACAGGGTTTGTAAATACTTTTCAACCTCGTTTTAGAAACGGTATCTATTGAACAAAGACAAAAAGTCACCAAAGTAGTTCTATTTCCAGATGATATGATGGTTTCTTTAGAAAAACCAAGAGAAAAAAAATTTTTTTTTAACGTTAATGGTTATAATGAATGCCTTCAGTTAAATGCTAGAATACATCATACCCACAAAAAACAATAGTATTTCTATAGATAACTTCACAAAACAGAAGAAAAGGATGGAAAGACAAATGGTATTTATAATAACATTTATAGACTGGATAGACAAAACATAGAAATAGAGAAAGCACCCATTAAATGTTTACTATCAGGTAATGTGCAAGAGCTCTGCCCTCAAAGAGCTTACATTCTATGGGAGAGGGTGGCAAGTGGGAGAAGACACCTCTGGGGAAGCTGGAAAAGAGCAAGGGGAGGCAGCATGGTCTGCAGACAACATCAGCTTCTCAAGACACAGGCCAGGCCTGCATAAAGCCAACTACAAAACAAGTTTAACCAATAGAAATAATTGGTGAGATTGCCAATGACAGTGATAGGCTGACTCAGTTTACATCATATCATCCCGCTGATGTAGCCACATAACAGCCACTGGCCTGAATGTCGGTGGGACACTTGATAGAAACAGACAAAGCGATTACATTTACGTGAAACAACGGTCAAGGCCATCCTGGGACGTTAGGGAGGGAGACGAGGCAAGGGGAATCACATGGCCAGCTTACTGATGACTGACCGGCCTCAGATGAATAATGATCAGAACTAGCCATTACTGTATGAAAAGCAGGAAAAGAAGCCAGCGGAACACAGGGGATAGCAGAGAACTGGAGGCAGACCTCTTGGGAGACCCCATGGCTTCACAAAACACTGGGGAAGGACTTTGCTCTTCAATAACCGTCTCAGCAGCACTGGTGAGCTGTGTGGGCAAGAATGGGGGTGGCCTCAGCTGCCACTAGAGTACAGTGACGCGTGTGTGTACGGATAGATAGAGAGAGACAATCAACAATAAACTCCCAGCAGGTGGTTTAGTATGACACGTCTTATCCTCTAAGCGTTTTGGAAATTAGTGAATAATGACAACCAAACAGACTAACAGATACATGGCAGCTAAGCCAGAAAATGCTCATTCAACACACTAAAAACCTAGAGGGACCAAAGAAGGGGATTTAATAGAAAAAGACTGTATTCTATGACGATGAAGGGCTGTTGTAGAACAGGAAGCCGTGTAGCTAGACTCCACAGGAGAGAAACAAACGTTCCCTAGAAACATTTCCGATTGCCGCGCGACACGCGTGGTCTGTGAGGAGGAACGTATGGAGAAGAATAGAGCCCGACCACCTAGATCCAAACAGGCAGCTCTCAGAGGGAGAAACACAAATGACCAGTTACCACTAGAGGAAGCGTTTGGATTCCTTAATAGGCAGAGAAACAATTGTGAACATCCACATGACTGGTGCCTCTTAAGTTAGAAGAAATAACAAAGAGATGATCAAATTCAATTCTCACAGGTTTTCTGCGAACAGGCCCTCAGCAAAGAGCACTAAAGAAAGGTCCCAGCAGGTAACTTGGGGGCTCTCTGGAGAGGACAGGGCTACACCCCAAGGACAGCGCCAGGAGGAACCAATCCTTTTGCACAAAAATACTCCTGACAGCATTATTCTTAATAATGAAAACTGGAGGAAAAAAACCCAATGGATCCGGGCAGACAGAGATACAGTATTAGAACGGAACTAAACACTGTCGTCTTAAGAAATAACAACTGTTAAGAGTACAAAGAAATATAAGATGTCTCGAACTTCTAGGGTAGTTTTAAGCTTTTTAAAAATTTTTACTTAAATCTTATTTAAAACTTAAGCTTAATAAACACTTGTTGTTTGTAAATGATGCAAATTTACAGTTCCATATACATTAATATTAATAAGTTTCATATACATTAATATTAATAAAAACATAAAATTAAAAACTTTCATTTCATAAACATTTGTTGGTTATTAAATTTATAACAAAAGTTTTTTTTTTTTAAAAAGGAATGAAAAACGTGATTGCCAACATTAGCTTCCCCTCCCAAATTAAGAATCCCTGGGAACAGAATGACAGAGTTCCAGTTGTGAAATTGTTATTCCATCTCTGAAGGGTACAGGCCAATGCTTTGTAATGACATTCAAAGCAAGGCAGTAAAAATAGTTCTTATAATTTTGCTATTTAAAATAATCTATTTTAACATTTTGGTCCAGAGCTGCAATGTCATTGGCACAGTTCTCTCCACCGATCCCCACTGGCAATAACCTGTAGTTGACAATCCTAGCGAGCTGCCCACGTCCCACAGCCAGGACTGTGCACATGGATGCCAGGCTTTGAGACCTCCAGCCCCAACTCCTCTCAGGCACCACCTCTCTCCCCACCTCCTCCCTGGCATGTGGCCTCTGGGCTGGTCAGGTTAGGAGGAGCAAACAGCAGATGAAGCAGGTGGGCTCTCCCACGGCTCGGCTTGGTGTCACTGGTGGAATGAAACCAAGGAGAAGAGAGCATTATCTTGGAAACGACAAAGCTCCATCTCCAAGTCCAACTGAACCCTATCTCGCCTCTGAGAATTCCAACCAAAGGACACGAGGATTTCGTTAGAAATTTCACAATCCGGGCAGAAACATTTTCTTTTGTTCAACAAATTAAATCTTAAGGCGGTCAACACCTGCGGCTACTTTTGCCCAGACATGGATTAGATTTAAAAACGTAAACTCCCAAGAGTCACATCACCTGTTTGGTTATGAAAAATTAAACAAATACAAGTAAGTCCAAGTGAAATTGGTTCAGTTCTGGACTCAAGTTGAGTTCCTTTTGGGTGATCGATCAGTCCTGACCCAGTACGAAATGACAATTGACATTGTAACTAACACAAAAGAGATGAAGAAAATGGTGGGATTTTTCCAATTGTCTTCTTTGTTAATTATAGGAATTATATCTGGAAAATAACCAAATTGAAGAAATCAAAGAAACTTCTTTCAACCACACCAGAAACATCAACGTCATCATATTACGTCACAATAAAATCGAAGAAGACAGGATCGATCCTTTGGCGTGGATCCATCATGAGTGAGTACCACCTGATATCCACTTCTCCCCGTTGTTAAACTCATCCAACCAACAATCCCTCCAGACAATTGGTGGGGCATGGGTCGAGGGTGGGTACTCTGCCGGCAGAGAGGAGAGGTCGGTACAAAGAAAATGACGGAAGAGGCTGGGGGAGGGGAGGAGGATGACTGAAAGAACAAGCTGGAAGAGCCGGCAAAGGCTGGGGGTCGAGGGCACGAGGCAAGGGATGAACTTTGACCCCAGAGAAACCAGTCTACCTCAGAGAAGGAGGAGATGAGTGGAGACACAGCAAAGCACAGACTGACGCAGTTCCTGAGCACCCTTCTTTCTTTCTTTCTTTGCTCCAGAAACCTGGAATCCATTGATCTCTCTTACAACAAGCTCTACCACGTTCCCTCCTACCTCCCCAAGTCTCTACTGCACCTGGTGCTGGTTGGGAATCAAATTGAGCGAGTTCCTGGGTACGTCTTTGGTCACATGAAGCCCGGACTGGAATACTTGTACCTTTCGTTTAACCAGCTGAATGACGACGGCATCCACCCTGTGTCCTTCTATGGGGCGTATCATTCTTTGAGGGAGATCTTTCTGGATTACAATGAATTAAAATCCATACCATGTGGGATATCGCGCATGACCTCGCTGCGCCTGCTGAGACTTAACAACAATAAGATACGGTAACTTTTTCTTCTGTTCTCGATTCTGTCTGTGGGCTGGCTAAACCTGAAGTCAGCAAACAGAACAGCTTTGCTCTTTGTGAGTGCTGCCATCTCAGAGCCAACAAACCCTTTAAGAGTTCGACTAAGGCAGCGTGGTGGCCAACTACTGGCGTTTTGGGTGGGGAAGATTGGATTTAGGACCAGAAGGGACCTTAGCGGTACCCACGTATGATGGCTCCATTTTAGAGATGAGGAGACTGAGGCCGAGGGGTTCTGTGACTTATACCAGGTAACCCAGGAAACATGTCTTTTCCTGTGCTAATTCACTCCTGAGAGTGGGGTGGGAGGGTCAGCCTTGCCTCCTCTCTTCTAACCTGTCACCTCCATCCCACACCTATTTCCTTAGGCGCCTTCGCCAGCAGCGCATCTGTGGGACTGAGAACAGAGATTCCCCTCTGGAGCATCTGCACCTCGAAAACAACTATATCAGCCCGAGAGCCATTTCATCTTTTCAGTTTCCATGCATTCGATCCCATGCAAGCATCATCCTGGGGCCACAAAAGGTCAAATAGGGCGGTGTGACCCTGCCTCGTGCTGGGTCTGTCCAGAAGCGGCACATGGCTCCAGGGATGCCCCTTCAAGATAGCGGAAGACTCTGACTGCTTTTCCACGTGGTTCTCCAGCCCGCAGACCAGGGGACAGGGCAGCATAAACCCCCATGTCCTGTGATCCCTGGGCAGCAGGAGCTAAGAGAGGCCCAGCCCTGCCCCTGCCCCTGCCCCTGCCCGGCCCGGCCCGGCCTGGCCCTGCTCACTATTACTTCCCAGGATGCACAGTGATAAGTCTGGAGATTAGCACAGGGATATCCAGCAGATCATTACTTGTCCCTGTTACAGCTGTGGGATCAGGGAGGCCCAAAGGACAGAAGGACAGCCCAGGGCCTCCATTTGTCTCCCACTTATGTGACCAAGGCCCCAGGTCACTATCCAAGGCCCTGCATTAGATGAGCTGCTAACCTGCACTGGGGGAGGGATTTCCTGCTCCAGGAGTTCCCCACACCGATTAAGTCCTGGGTCTAGAAGAATAAAAGCAAACCAATTTACAGCTGACCTGATCTGCTCAGTAAACACTGGCGCTGGAGAAGATCCTTTTTTGATGTGTGATGCCTAAATGAATGAAAGGCAAAGGGCTGGGCTGGACTTGGAGGAGTCAGCAAGATCCAGTTTCCAATCCCAACATCTGGACACTTGTTCCAGGGCCCCAGGGAACACTGGAGTGGCTGATCCGCCATGGTGAAGGGAGTTCCCACACTGGAAGTCCACTGTGCTGATAAGAGCACAGATGCTGGTTTGTCCCAAGGACCATGGAGCCCAAAGCCCTGAGCAGCACCACGGCTCAGCGCCTGGGCCCCACTGGACCATGGAGCCCGAAGCCCTGAGCAGCACCACGGCTCAG